GGACAAGCTCTAACTTTGCTCAAATCTTATCTCGCAAACCGAAAACAAAAATGTCAAATAAAAAACTCCTTTTCATCTGAGCGATTGATTAAATGTGGCGTACCGCAAGGCTCTATTTTGGGGCCACTATTCTTTTTGCTGTATGTAAATGATTACCTCAATGCCTAAATAAAACAAAACCGCGTTTGTTTGCGTTTGTTTCAAGCAAAACCGCGTCAGACGACACAAATCTGACAGCTTCAGGAGATTCTATAACTAACCTTGAGGCTGCAGTAAATTCTGATTTAGAAAACCTTAGAAAATGGTTAATTGCCAATAAAGTTAGCCTTAATGTAGCCAAGACTGAATTCATGTTAATTGGTGCAAAGCAAATGATAAAAAAGATCTCTGATTCTCATCCGAATGTTGTCATTGAAAATAAATAAATTAAACAAGTTTACGAATGGAAAACTCTTGGAGTAACAGTTGACCATGAAAATATTTGAAAAAAATAACAGCATGAATCTCTGCTATTCGTCGAGTCAAACCTTTTGTTGACAAAAAAAAACTTATTTAAAACAGAACTGCTAGAATTATCGTGAATATGAGTAATTACGTAAATCATTCTATTGTTTTGTGCGAATTGGGTTGGGAACCACTCAAAACATTAAGGAAGAAGGCTAAAGCAAAAATAATGCATAAAGTATTAAATAAAATGAATAATAAGTATTGCAAATAATGTGCCTGTAAATAGACTGCCAACTTTCTGATTAGACATTAATATGTTACTATTTTAATACCCATTAATATGTTACTATTTTAATACTCTATACATTTTAAAACGTTTGTAAATAGCTAATTATCACTTTCTTGTACATGTAAAAATCTTATTTATCTTTTGGCACACGCCCCTCGTGGAAATCAGCTTCGGTCAGGGCCGCCGAGAGAATTTGCGGGGCCCGGGGCAAATCTTCTCTGAGGGCGTCATGACATCATTATTTTTAAGGTAAACTCAAGTCAGTCACCCAACTAGACCTTAGCTAGACTGCGCAGTGGAGGTACTGTAAAGGGCCCTCAATTTCAAAAATGCTCTGACCAATTTAAAGAACCTGCTCAATTTTAGGCTATTTTTCTCAAGGTGGGGGCCCGGGGCAATTTCCCCCCCCCCTGCCCCCCCTCGGCGGGCCTGGCTTCGGTTGACGGGGTCAGCGTGTATAAATAGAATTTCTATCTATCTATCTAGGCACTGAGATTATTCGTTAAATTCGTCCTCACGGTACTTGTATTTCAGGCAAAAAGTAAGGAAAGCTAAAAAAAACAATCATTGGAAAATCAACGAATCCTTGTAAACTATAGTGTTCTACAGCGCATGATGATCTCTTAACCAAGTTAAGGAAAATTATTTTATTGAAGTGTCTTCAGAAAGCTGCATATTAGCTTTTAGAAAAATTCTCACTTGTAGGTACATGTAGTTAGATTAAAAGCTCACTTCAAAATCATCTTGAGTTAGTAATTATATGTTTTGAATTATATGTAGAATACATTACTATATCGATTATAACCTGGTAATCCTTGGTCACCATGCGCCATAAACAGGCATCGATTTCCTTATTCAAAAAGCGGGAAACGTAAACTTAATACGCAATGGCAGAGTTTTTTCTGGGGAGGTGTTGGACACCACTAGAAGGAAGCATGGCTCCCTAACTTCTGCCCCCATGTTCTGCACATGAAATTACTGTAGAGTAATCAACTACCTCTGCATTTATTCGTCAAACTGAACATCTCGAGAAATCCCCCAGAATTATAAAAGTACTTACATCCCGCTGCGTATCATTTGAGTTGCACATTCTTTGTGCACTTTATGAGAACATGGGAGGATTTGACATCCAGTGAACGCATCCTGCAGGAAAAATTAAAAATCTTTTCATGACTCAGGTCAATAATGAATGCCTAATATAAGCCTGTCATTAACCATATCGTAGTGAATCGTAGTGTATTTCATTCGTTTTTAATTTAACATAAGGACACAAAAGAATATATATAATAATGGCACAAAAGAAAATGCTATGAGACAGTACGGTTCAATGCCAATTAGCGAGCGTGGCTTAAAATAAGTTACTCCAAAAATTCGGTACAAAACTCCAATTTTAAAGAAAAGCTGCGATATGCATGTTTCGGCGTTCCACGCCTCATCAGTGCAGCTTGGTACACATCTAGATACGTCATATTGCCGTACTTTTACACATGAGCTTGCTCTCTCGCCAAGCGCATGTGGTACAAAACAATGACACAGAATAGAGATCTTACAGAAGGCTGACTAAGCCAAAAAAGCGTAACTGCCGCCACTCAATGATTCGTCATTAAAATACACTCGCTATGTTCCTAGCCAGTGCGCTTACGAGAGGCGTTCACCCCTCTGAACGTCCACCACTTACACGAAACCAAGGCAAAACCAAGAAGTCGGCCTTCTGTAAGCTCTCTTTATTCTGTGACGATGACATCAACGCATCTAGACATGCGCAGAGTGTAATGGGGCCAGAGTGCTCAAACATTTGTATGAACACTAGTAGACACCCATTAACAACTCCGCAGAGTGCTCAACAACACCGAAGTGATGTAGCGTTATAGTACAATCTGCAGACATGCATGTTTCGGCGTTCTATATATGCGCATTATATATTACCTCCAAACAAATACAGCATTCATCATGTGCCGAGCCTTCGCGACATTTGTGATTTCCACGAAGTTGAACATCCAAACATACACCACAGACATCACAATGAAACGATCGATCTCCGTGAATTCTAAAATGTGAAATAGTACTTAATGACTGAATAGACTTATTCTAGAAAGCTCTATCAGTTCTAAACTTTTCTTAATGGTCCACTATAAAGTCGATCCAGTATTGGTCCAGTGTTACTACAGGGAAAATGCTGTTATGTAATGTATATGGTATAGAAAAACTGGAAGGACACACAACTGGCTGATTGGGCGAAAATTTGATTACTGCATATTGTTTAATTAAGGTTTTTCGTAGAGGTGGAAAACACAAGGGTTACTCCATGGACAGGTACATCTTGTATGGGACTTCGTGTCGTTTTGTTGTTGCATCTGCCTCAGCGCAAATTATTTTAAATAAAAAATCATTTTAAGGCTTAGTACGAATCATTTCATGACATTGAAAGAAAATAGTATTATATCATGGCCAGTGCAGGTCATTGCCGGGTTGTGTAAAGGCCCTTCTACAAGCTACGACTAGTCGTATTCGCCTAGTGGAAAATGGGCTTTGGAGTCGTTTTCATACGCCAGAATGATAACCGTATAGGACTAAGTTGTTATTGTGTAAATGAAAGCTAATAAAATCGTACCTGCAGATTCCACATTTTTGGCAATGATAAGGATGATCGTCGTTTCCAGTCAGATGTTGACACAAACCACAGAAATAACTCGCGAATTTTGCCCCACAATCACAGCAAAATTGACCAAACTAAATAAAATGTAACCAATTAGTCTTTCTCACGGTCGATTTTCCCGCCATTTTGGGGGTACTGCCTGTCCCACGTTTGAGAGTCTCCGCACCACGAAATACAACTTTTTATTATTATAGTTGCTTGGATAATGGTAAATTTACATTTACAACTTTTAAAAGTCGCTTTTCACATTGCTTGAATTGTCTAGAATCATTTACGAGGGCAGACAGTAACACAAAAATGGCGGATTTTGGCCTTCGTGAGAAAGGGTAATTAAGTGCCACTCTCCCCTTGACGAGTAAAATCGTTTGGCTTTAGACAGACTAAAATAATAAAGTAGGACGCATTAGGGAGCATTGCCATTTAAGGAGTTAATTGTACTGCATATTGTGCGTCAACACGTTTCAACAATTATAAAAAATACGTCAGGGTAAATATGCCTTAGCTTAAGCATTATTTTTAAAATTGAAAATTAGGGTTACCTGTTGCTCTTTATTGCAATAGACGCACTTCACCATCTGCGTGTCACGTGACTTAAGTTTCTTTCGGCCACACGTGCTTTGGTTGTTATGGCAACGATGGCATGGCCAAAAGTTGTCGCAACATTCAAATTTGACGTAGCAAAGTCGTTTGTAATGACTGCATAACCAGTTACTTTCGAGGTCAAGGTCTTGGTTCCGAGAAGGATTTGGGGCGTGGGCAAAAGAAACGATGCTTCGTTCTGCGCCTTCACGTGAGAACTTGGAAAGCTTTGAACCATTGCTACCAATTGTAATTCTTGAGCCGTTGTTTTTCACTGGTGGATTTGTTCTTGTTGAAGAATTGCTTGCTGTTGTTCTTCTCTCGTCTGTTTTTCAAACAATAAAAATAAATTATTGCAAACTTTTATTTAACTCCTTCACAAGATAGCTCTATCAATCCTGTCTTTGTCAGAGTTTCAGAAAGGACCATTGCGCCAGCGTCACTGCAGTAGAAACACAAATTACACTATATAAATTATAATGCATAAATGTTAGGTCCTGTGAGGGCAGGGCTCAATTCGTCTAGTATTAGTATAGGACGCCCAATAGTTTAATATTCAACAAAATTTCATTGTGTTACCGTGAAAATATTCTAGCAACTGTTTTTGTAAGCCATAGGTGTTTATTTAAACCATGCGATGCACATTGAACCAATAATTGCTATACGTTCCATACCAGAAGCGAAACACACTAAATTTACGAAGGATATCAGTCTGGTAAAAACATTAATTAAAGAAGCTTACTTGTGACAGGGCCATCAGCAACGACGACACTTGTTTTAGTAAATCCAGATGCAATAGGTTTCTCATTTCGCTGCTCGTGGGCTGTACACGTAGATTGGTTTTCATTGGGAGATCTGGACACGAGGTTTGCGTTGTTTGTGTTTGGGTATCCCAAGAAACTTGAAAGAGCAGGCTGGTGGTTTTGTTGAGCGACAGAACTTTGCGATCCATTGCTGTTTTCTGGTGTCCTTGAAGTTGCTGGATTTCTGTTTGTACTCATTTGTGATGGACCGCTGGCAGCGACATTTCTTCTTGCTGTTCTGGAACCCGGAGGGTACGACGGACTGGAACTCAATGTATTCAAGAAACTTGTAAACCGTGAAGTGGAACCGTACTGAGGATTTTGTGCCCTGTTTGCATCACGCGTTTTCAAGGCTGACGTTTGGCGAAGTAAGCTGTAATCACCAAGGAGGAATTCATCGATAATGTAGACAAGATCAATTCTGATAATAGATTCAAAGAAATCACGAAGTGGACTTAAATCTGAAGCATTGATGATTCCTTTTTGATCAAGTTGTAAGAGAACATCGGTAGCATTTTGAGAGTTTGTCGAGAAATTTTGAGAAGCCCAGTCCTTCAGTTTCACGACTTCAGAGGAAAGAAGACCTCGGCCCAGGGATAGTAACAGGAGCTTGTAGTTGTTGTACACCGTTGTTGCGACTGATGTAGGTGGTATATTACTCAGGGATATGAACTCTCTTCCATTTGAATCATCTTGTTGGACTGAGAATGACAGATGAAGATGGCTTTGCCAGGTTGATGTTTGTTCAATGCTTTCCTCTCTAGATGTCGGTACCAAAACACTGGTTCCATTGACTTTTCCAGATTCACTGATTCCCTCTCCGCCACTTGTCTTCTCCATCCTTTCGCTTTCCTTTCGCATTGCTAGAACTTCTCCTGTGCTGTCCCGTTCTCCTCCTTGAACTTTATCCTTTATCTCTTCTTTCTCTGCTTGTTGGTTACTTTCTAGCACCAAGGCCTCGGCACCAAGGACAGGTTGACCACCAGAGGTAGCTGTGTAGGCAACTGAAGCATTCACTGAATCTCCTTTTTCATTTGTGGCTTGAGGATTTGGGAGACCATTTGGAGAACCATTTCCATTTACATAAGAATCATTTGGGTAGCGAAGCTTGTCATCTTCAATATCTGGTTTGTCATTGTTGGTAGACACAACAGGTTGTTTAGCTTCGGGTGATGAGGAACGAAATATTTGATGAAAGTGCTCGGATCTTCTTCCTTTGCTTTCTTTGGCAGTTTGCTCAACAATGACTTGCCCAAGCTGAGCCATAATCTCACGGTTTTCAATTCGCAACGACATCACTTGTTTTTCGAGAAAGTGGATTTTGTCTTGCAGTTCCCTCAGAATTTCTTGATTTTTCCATTTCCACGATTTCAATGCGTCAATTTCTTTATTTATACTTGAATCTTCGGCATATATTTTCCATTCAGCTTTCTTTCTTTTTTCGTTAACAAAGGGTTGGTCATTCGAAAGATCTTGATCTGAACTTGAAATTTCTTTAGCTTTGAATGCAAGGATTTTACCATTTTGCTTCTTTTGTTGTTCCTCCTCTTTTTCATAACTGTTCTCAATTTTTTTTGAAAAAACAGTAATTTTTTCTTTTAAATCTATTTTTGCAATTTCGTCGGAAATACTATTTGTTTGGAAATATAACTCGAGATTGTAGTCCACGTTTTTATTTACAGAGTTGAAAGTTATGTAATCACAATCTTGAGAGTTTTGGATAATTTTTTTAACCAAAAAAGTATGTATAAAGTTTAAACTTTCGTCAATTTCATACGTTGTGAAAAGTTCGTTATGAGCACTTTTTCCACGATACAACCACCTTCCCAATGGTTTAGCAGTAGCCTCGCTTGGACATTGAAGATAGTCATTAAACAAATCTAATGAATGTGAAGTTTCTGCAAACAATGCTTTTGTTTCAGACGTAAAACTTTGCAATTCAAAACTCAATTTAGCTACATTTGGCGAATCAATCATTGTTGATTTTACTTTCTGCTGGCTCTCGGAAGCATTCGAATCAAAACCAGGAAATGGAGCTTTAATGGACAGCTCAAACGCGTCTTGCAATGAACTACGTACCACTTCGGGTATGAAATGAGTAATAAAACGCAGATATAAAATATGCCTGCTTCGATCATCTAAGAAATCATCAGTAACAGCAAGCTTGTCAGAGACACTACCCATTGTGGGCGAAAATTGACCCAAGATTGAAACTATAAAAACCTGGAAAGTTAAAAAAATAAATTATTGTCAAGTAATTATAAGAATGTTGAAAAATAATGACGAATTTAAATTAATAGATTGGTGTCGCACCATGTATTGCGGACTCAAAGTCATACCTATTTTTAAGAATTTTTTATCACTGCACATTTCTATCACTGAACACACCCTTATAATGAATGTGTAACCACAAAACAGGCTACAATTGATATTCGCTAAAACCAACATACACTGCACAGCACCCAGCGTCGCCCAGGGTAATATGGGGGCCCAGGGCAAAATTTGACTTGGGGCCCCTCGCAATTACATCTTGTATAACTATGATTAGGGGGTTCCGGGGGCATTCTCCCCGAGAAAATTTTGAAATCTAAGGTCCCAGAAATTGCCAAATCCTGCGTTCTGGAAGTCTAATTGAAATATATCTATGTATATTTCACTGTAATTCTTTGTTTGGGCCCCCCTTTAACTTCAGCCCCAGGGCAAATTGCACCACTCTGGGCGTCCTTCACAGCGCCTGCAGTTACGACTATCTATGACAGCATAGTTTCATAATCACATGCTTGCAGAAAAGAAATATTTTCACATATTATATACACTAATTACATTACTATTAAGCATCACTATTACATTACTATTAAGGTGGCTCAATACAGTTTTTGAAATATGACAAAATCGTGATTTAGATTTAATTTTTTGAAGAGAGGTTTCTCGTTAGAGGACAAAAATTGTACCACATATATTGAGCAAGCTTCTAAGAGTTGAAAATTGTTCACAAAAATGACGTCATTACCGTTGCTATGGTAACAATGACGTTTCAATATGGCCGACATTTTACCTTTTAACACATTTTAATCGGAAAAAGGCCGGTTACCCCCATTTTTTATTTCGTGAAACGATTTCATTTAGAAAAATGAATTATATGAACAAGTTAAAAAAATTCTGTAGATCAGAATTTTTAAAAATTAAGAAACGTCATTTTTCGTAATAAATAATTTTTGGATCAACAGAATTTTTTTAAACTTGTTCACATCATTCATTTTTCTGAATGAAAACGTTCACGAAATAAAAAATGGGGGTAACCAGCCTTTTTTCGATTAAAATGTGTTAAAAGGTAAAATGTCGGCCATATTGAAACGTCATTGTTACCATAGCAACGGTGATGACGTCATTTCTGTGAACAATTTTCAACTCTTAGAAGATTGCTCAATATATGTGGTACAATTTTTGTCTTCTAACAAGAAACCTCTCTTCAAAAAATTAAATCTAAATCACAATTTTGTCATATTTCAAAAACTGTATTGAGCCACCTAAATTAAGCATCATTCACTCCATCTTCCAAGGTCATAACGAGATTTTTGGTGAGAGACTTTGTTCATCTGATGAACTTTAAGTGTAATATTAATTATTAGTGCGAACGTTGGATAATTCGGCAGTCATCATTTCAATTTCATTCAAATTATTCTCATTCAAAATGTTTTGCCACTGTCAAGTGTCAAGACACATTTTTAGTTCAGTTTTTCTGCTCATTGCCTCATTTTCTTGTTAATTAACAACTTATCACAGCAAATTTTATCACTGCACATTTTACATTTTATCACTGCACTAATTGGTTATCACAGCACCTAAATTTAGGTATACCCAAAGTCTTTATTGGCCGATGTAGTCTGACCGCGCGTAAAACAATGCAGTCGGGGACTAAGAAGATTAGTAGAACTACCAAGGTGTCCCCAAAAAACTTGCGGTGTTTGATTTCATGTAGGGTAAAAAACAATAAAAGCTATTACACTCAAATAAAATTTACTGTATTGAGAAAAGGCTAACTTAGATTTTGATATGCAGCCCTAAAAATGTCATTTAATATTACGTGAAAGACAAATGTTTGAATTTGGCGCATGCTTTAAAAATGAGTAAAAAATCAAGAAACACTGTTCAAATTTATATGAGACCAAAATTGCCATTTTCCACAAAAATTAACAATTTCAATTCTAGCATTTCAACTCAACTTTAATTTAATTCGGATAATGTCCCAGTATAAGTTAGCCTTTCGTGTTTCTCGGGAAGCGAAATAAGCATGAAACATTCAAAAACGTTCGAAAGCATATTTGACGTCCTTTGGGAGTTCGTATTATAAAGTTGGTCTTCGTTCGCCTCTCGAATATGCCTCGATTAACAAAAGATCAAAGAGTTTGGGTTTTATGGTTTCCGTGCAAGCCATTGTATACGTGAAAAAGGACATACTTTCTATGATGAATGAATAAATGTTTATCCAACAATTATGTTTTTCATTCGTTCTTTTGGCCACAATAAAACTATATATAATCAAGTTTAACCAAATAATATTTGATAGGCAATTTTATGCAAATTTTTAACATTGTCAAATATGCTTATTCGATTAAAAACATCGATAGCTCAGTTAATGTTGCACGGACATTCAAATGTTACATATCAAAATCTATATAAATTAGCCCTTTCTGAATACAATAAAAGTATAAAACTTATTTGAGTGCAATACTAGCTTTTATAGTTGTCACGTTGCATTAAACCTTTTTTGTGCGCATGCTCGGCAAGTTACTAGATGCATGCTTCTCATTGGATGGCCACTCACTTTAACTGCTCGCGGAACTTGCCGAGCACGGAGCACGCGCAGTTGATCCGGTCGCCTGAAAAAAAGTGGGTACATGAAAACGTAAGTTTCTGCAGTGTTTACAACGGCCAGTTCCAGCCTTATGTATCTATTCTGTGGTCGTATATGATTGTCATTCTGGCGCATGAAAACGACTTCTAAAGATCCAGACACACCGGACGCGATTCGACGAAGTTAATAAAACAGCCAATGAGAACAAATTTTGAAAGATATGTAGACTAAATAACTCAAAATGTTATACTGCTTCTAAATATTTGGAGAATTTAAACCAGGATCAAAGTTATCGGTCAGTGAAAATCGAAAAATCGCGCCACGTTGTGGAATCGCGTCCGGGCCTTAAAGGCCCACACAGACCAGACGCGATTCGGCAACGCGACGCGAATTTTTAGTTTTCAAAAACAAATAAAACCGTCAACGGATAAAAATTTTACAAATTTGAAATGTTTACACGCTTTTATTCGGGTACATACGCCAGTATAAGAATGGTCGTGTCAATACGTGTTATCATAGTCAATGGAGCGAGATATGCAAGTATGCAAACCAATTAAGATCAACAAAAAAATCCGGAAAAACCTGTTTTATACCAACCCCTGCAAAGGCAGAGGTCTTGAAAATGAAAGTCGCTTAGTAATCACAATTTTTGTTCCGCTGTATTAAATACTGTAGATATTTCAGTATTTTGGTCTCAAAAGTGTGATCTACACTAGGAATAATGTAGAATAGACTTATTGTAATAATTTGAATTGATATTAGAGCAGGGAAAATCTTGTCTTTATAGATCCTCGACGCATACAGCCTTGCTTTAAGTCTAGAACAAAGCAAGCATTGAGCAATTATAACATAACGCCTTTTGCAAACAAGATGTTCTCAAACTATTCTTATAAGCCATTTCTAAGCCATACCATAGTACCCGTTCTGGGAAGATTAATCTCGACGTTAAGTTGTTCACTGAACCATAATTATAGGAATGCGGCTTCTTATTAAAAAACATCGCTTGCGGAAATCCACAGCAATACAAGTACAACCATATGTTTCAGCATTATCATCGTGAGAAGACGACTGGCGTTAAATAATCACCATTTAAGTAAAAACCATTTAGTTGTAACCGAATTGCCGTATCGGGTGGTTCCATCACACAACTCATAAATAAGTGTTGTAAAACATTCGCGAGAACTTTCCGCAACCTCCGCTTGGTATGTCCATACTTAATATATTTACGGCCCATCATTTATATATTGTCACAAATACCAAAGACAATAACCGATTATATTCTCTACTTCGTTTTGCCATTAAACCTTACCCTTTTATTATAGTTCCTCAAAAACAGAAGCTGAAATAGTCGTTGTATTATTTTAACTGTCAACAGAGCCAAAAGACAATTGAAATGCGAAGCCACTTCGTGATCTGCGAAGGCGTGTCGTGACGTGTTGACTATAATACGTTTGCACAACAAATTGCAACAAGGCCAAGGGCAAGGAGAACTTCACGTTTCAAACCAATTTAATACTCCTCCATGAAAATAATGTCAACAATTTTGCTCGCCAATACACGATTAACAATAAGTTAGAAATATCGAAGGGATAGCAAAATATTTTGGCAACGTAATCTACATAACTATATTTGCACTGCGTTGTGTCAATAAGACAATTGTATAAAATATTAATTAGGGAAAACCCCTGGGAACTTCTGATGAGTGTTTGCCTCGCTGCGGGTTATTTTAAACCAATCACGATGGTCGACAGTTATTTTTAATTGGATGCACATCATGGACACTCGTATATGCAAATATGTTAAAATAAATCTGCTGAGTATTAAATTAGAAATTGTTCAAAACACCAGTCTTACCGGGTTCCGAAATCCCGACCGATTTTCACTCAAATCCTGTTATCCCGCCATGCCTCATCCCAATTTCCCGCTCCCAACTTTGTTTCGAACACTGTTCAACGTATTATGATTTAAAGAACATGGTAACGACATTAAACACAATTTGAATACATTTGAATACAATACAACAAAGTTTAAAATAATAAATGACTCTGAATCGTGGCTCTTATGAAAACAGCAATCATACATGTAAATGGTGATTGATGGGGGACAAATGTTCGATATTATCCTGGAAAACAGTACATTTCGAGCACACAAACAAACGACAACAGATCAGCTAACGTACGGCTACAAGTTTTGTTGTTTTATCCCGCTAATCGTGGGTTACTTCCCGCATATCGCCATGGTATTTTTATTAATCCCGCTTCCCGCGATGGAATAAAATCCCGCTTCCCGCCAATATTTCTCTTAAAATCCCGAATCGCATACCGCAAAACCGGTACAGGCCCCTCAACAATGGCAACATGTTTGTCATGTAGTTCCTTTAGGTCCAGAGACTTATACTATATATTCCAGTTCACATTAAATTAATATAAGAAAGCATGCCTTGTAAACTGAATAGGTTGGAATTTCGATTTGTTGACAAATATTCATGCATGTTGCTTTACGTTGTCATTGCTATCACCTGCCGGAATTAAACTTTATACGCAATAATTCGGTTTGTTTCGCCAACACAAAACAATTTCCACCGATTAGCATATTCGTGAATCACACAATTCAATGAAGCGATTCCGAAAAACCACCCACGTACGTCAAATCAGGACAGTCGGTATTGCCAAATTACCGTGTCACGTGTGGTAACTTTGTCAATTCGAAAACCAAACCCACCCAATGCGTAATCAGCAGTCAGTTCATATTGATCCGGTTACTGCGTGAGCCTGTGTCGTGGGGGCAAAAACCTTCACTTCTGAGAGATCTTGGATTCAGGTAAGTCCCAAAATGACAATTTGAAGATGCATGTTATTTCAACAAATGATTATTTAAATATGTAATATTGCATGTACGGTGTAGTGGTATTTATGTTTGTGTGCATGGATGGCAAATTTTGTTAAATAGGATAAATTTACATGTAAAACCTAAAATATTTGTACTTTGGTTCTGTTAAAATAACTTAAATAATACAACGACTATTTCAGCTTCTGTTTTTGAGGAACCACAATAAAAGAATAAGATTAAACGGTAAAACGAAGTCAGATATGGTAATTTGCTTTCGTTGGTTGGGATGCAACCAGGGGCGTAGGGAGCATCAAAAGGTTGGGGGAGGGGGGCACCGGGGTCGCTAGACACCTAAAAAACGTTTCCCGGAAATGTTTGCGTAATGGATGGGGGGAGGGGGGTGGGTAAGGAAAAATAAAAGCAATCACAAAAATTCCAATCTGAACAACATTTTTCACGAAGGGACTTGTCACCGGAGAGAGGGCACTTTTTGTCCTCTGAAAACCTGGGGGGGGGGGCTTGGCTCGCATGGCCCCCGGTTCCAACGCCCCTGGATGCAACTACCTGGAAAATACAAGTAAAAAGGAGAAATTCGGCGTTTCGGGCGAAGAACTGCCCGACGAATCACTGAATGACTACATCTTAAAAGCCCTTTGTCAGGAAGTTCTTCGCTCGAAACGTCGAATTTCTCCTTTTTACTTGTATTTTATCCCTACCAACGAAAGCAAATGACCATATCTGACCATCATAAATTATTTTTTTGATAAAATATATCGTAAAAATAACAACAGATACTTTAAAAGCGACAGGCAAAACAAGGTAATTCACGTTTGAATGTGTATTAGCGCACCAAAACTTTATCAAATCATATAAACTGGACAATGTTAATTCGCACTTACTTTGGTTGTCTTTGTAACCTTCCAATGTCTTTAAATCTATCTTACTAAGTAAATTTTCGTAACAGTTTCTTTACTCTGTAGTTTTCGTTTGTATTTGTATACGCGTCTAAAAATTAAAAGTTCAGCTTGTTGCTAGGCTACGGTGTTTAGTATTGCGGGGGTGTCTTGTCACCAAAGAGCTGTTTCCGTTTTGCAACCAAAATGAATATTATAATAAAGTGGAAATTAAACTTCGTTTCAAACCAAATTTCAATTCACTCAAAAAATTGTTATGTTATAGACCGGTTATGTATGAACTTACTTATAAGTATATCCAACGATCGATACACCAACGCCAAGCGGTGTCCAATTTAATTAATACTTTAAATACCCCAAAATATTTGCAAAATATACGAGTGCAATTCTAAAACTGAGTGCAATTCTAAACAGAATATATTATTCGGTAATGTAAATATATAGTGCGTGTCCATGCAAAAACACAACAAAACTAAACTATGAACGTAATATCAAAATTAGAACGATTAGGAGATCTTCTATTTACATAGCCTGTTCGCAGCCCGGATCGGGTGAATGTTGTTGAGTAGGCTAGCCGGATGATGCCTCAACAAATCTGACAGAATCATGTCATGAAAATCTTTGCAACATTATTAAGAATAATATTAATTGCAATACTCCAATAGTTACTATATAATAGTAACTTTAACAACCTTGAGCACGCGTTTGAACACAGAAACTGTGGTTTGAAAGTAGCCCGGTCATATAAACAGTCCTTGCATGACGATATACACATAGCCCATAACTTATTCTTTTCCTCATGGTGGTTTCTTTGAAGGATGAGGTCTTCTTTCCAATTTATGTGCAAAACTTTCCCGACATATCGGACAACGCGTTCTACAATGTGTAAAACAAAGAAATTTAGGAGTCGAAATTTGCATATGGTATGTTCTCTAAAATCAAATGATTAAAATTCAGCATGCATCACACTCACATGCCACTTCTGATCATCTGAGTCGCGCATTCTTTATGAACTTTGTGTGAACAAGGTAGGATCTGACATCCTGTGAATGCATCCTATAGAGAACAAATATATGTAAGAATATCTAGTGTTGACCATGGCGTAGAATACCGTATAATAAAAATATATATTTATACAGAGAGAGAGACAAATGAAAATCCAATTTACTTAAAATTAGAATGTGATAAAAGGATAAAAAGTTATAGTATCAGATCTAAATGTCTATAGCATATTTATATGTAATAAAATTCGCCATTCCAGATGTTCATTTCGTTGTAACGTTCACTCCTAATTAGAACCTCAAATTGATACAGTACCTCCAAACAAATACAGCATTCGTCATGTGCAGAGCCTGCGCGACATCTGTGATTTCCACGAAGTTGAACATCCAAACACACACCACAGACATCACAATGAAACGAACGATCTCCGTGAATTCTAAAATAAAAATTTCGAACACACACCAGTTAACAAACTCGAAGTGACCGCAAATTGAAATTTTTGAAATTATGGAATTGCGAAATATTCATGCATAAAATATCGTTAAAACTAGTTCAGAAACAATCAGACGTATTCAGAAAACGAGATTTGATCTTAGTCAAAGAGATTCTTTTCTGTACAAATTTTCTGATGAATAATTTCAATTTTTCAAAACTAAGCGACATGTTTGCTTTATGGCAAAATTCAACTGCACTTCTCCTGTGAACAAAGAAGTCTTCTGGCTGTAAAAATCCTCTGCTGAAAAATTTTATTTTTTGCTCGAAATTAGGCCTATGTACTGAGTTTTACTCTGGTATCTAACCTGCAAATACCACACTTTTCACAATGGTAAGGATTATCATCAGTGCCTGTCAGGTGTTTACACAAACCACAAAAGTATCTCGCAAATTTTGCATTGCATCTTGAACAGTAATGTGCAAACTGAAATAAAGAATTGAAAGTACACATTGAAAGTAAATTGACATAAAAGTTGAAATCATAATAGGCTATTTCTGAATTAAAGTCGAATCAGTGGCGATACCAGGAGGGGGGAGGGAAGGCAAGGCGGGGGGAGGGGGCAGGCAGGGAGGCAGCTGGCGCCCCGCCAATGTCTGAAAGCCATTGAATGATAGCTGAATAACTGTGTAACAAATGTTGTACCAATAATTTTTCAAATATGCATTAGTAGGCTCTACCGCTAGCTATATATCGCATGGAATTTAAGAAAGAACTAAAATTTCTAAATTCGCCTGAATAACGAATGTTGGAAATTGATTCTTAACATACCGGTTGTTCAAGACCGCAAGCAGCACACTTAAGCTGTTTCGTGTCACGTGACTTAAGCTTCCTCCTGCCACATGTGCTTTGGTTGTTATGGCAACGATGACATGGCCAAAACTTGTTACAACATTCAAATTTGACGTAACAACGTCGTTTGTAATGACTGCATAACCAGTTGTCGTCCTCATCCGCATCAGGTGGTTGGAACTTTGACAACTTCTGTCCATTGCTACCAGGGTTTGAATTACGTGAAGTATTAACTTGATCGCCACGTACTGTTGAACCGCTGGCCTGAACTGTGGAAGACAAAATTTCATAGACTTAATAAATACACTACAAAATATATAAACAGAAGAATGACAGGGCATCGTGTTTATCTTAGGGTTTCTTTATACTAAGTCTCCTGAGGAAGGATCTAAACATCGCTTTAGAATAGCACGGTTTCCTGGAACCAGAGTTGCAAAAAATCTGCGGGTATGCGGGTACCATCCGCGAGGAATGTTTACCATATGCGAGGTCTCAACACTAACACAATAAAACAGATAAATGATACTCGACTATAGGCAGGTTGAGGTTGACAGGATGCCGATCTGGTAACTATTGTGACAGTATTCTCTAATGTGATAGCCAAGATAGCCATCTAGTATCAGTACTGAGGAGAAAACAATAAAATATTCAAAAATATTCAGTAGGAAATAGGAACAAGAAGCCGATTTTGAATGACATAATTTATATATTTTGCAATTTGAAAAAGCCATAATCCACATTATTTTGAGAAAGATTTGAAATTTTTACCCGGAGGAAGTTTGAACACTTCCTGCAAGGCTGCAACTCTGCCTAGAACTACACCGCGTTCATCCCTCAACCCAAAGTTTAAAGACAATTATTTAACCTACCTTCAGCATCCTCCCGTCTTGCACCATCAGTGACTACCACTCCTTGAGAAGCAGTACTGCTGATTAAAGTTTCCTTGGCAGATGAGGTTGACGTTTGTGGCAAAGGATGAGGTCTGCGTGTATCCGAGCCAGGACCATTTCGAGCAACAGATCGCTGGGTAGCGTGTTGTGTGGAACTCGATATACCCGCAGTATCTCCGATCTCCCTCGAGTTTGCCCGTGATCCCTGAAATTGCCTTTGAAAACCTGGTGCAGTACCCCGTGACTGGTCTGCTGGACCAGTGAAATGCCCTCTGGCTGTTGAACGCGATGGCCATTGTGCTGATGGTAGATGACCAAACCGCTGAGAGGCCAGTCCATTCTGGGCGTTACCTCCTCGACTAAATGATCTCTCACTAGGCTTGGAAATCTTTAGCTGTGAATACTCCCCAAGAAGATAACTGTCAATAAGATACACAAAATCATATCTTAAGTTATCTTCAAAGAATTTTTTCAGTCGACTGAGATCGGTAATCGTGATGATTTTCTTACGATCTAGTTCCAGGAGAATTGCGCTCACACTTCCAGAAGTATCGACTTCAAATTGACTTTCCACCCACTGTTTTAGTTTGAGGACATCTTCCGCCAGGAGAGCGTGAGATATTCGCAGTAACAAGAGTTTGTAGTTGTTGTGGATATTTCCATCTACAGCGGTATGTGGTATATCAGTTAGACTTGCCGTTTCGTTAAGTGACTCTTGCCCATGACGATTTTCGACTTGATTATGTCCCACCTCTGTCGTTTGATCACTCGATGCCCTTGAATCTAAGGATGTAGTCGACCATTCTGAAATCCCCGACGTCTGAGTTGAAGCTGAATGGAACTTGTACGTTTTATTAAAAAGCTCCTCTTTTTTCTTTTCATTCTGTATTCTCGTTAACTCCACACTTAAACGGCCAAGTTCTAAAAACGTTTCTTGTATCTCCGCTTCCTTCTTTGCCAAAGTTATCACCATTTTTTTATTCTCTTCTATCAACTCATTAATTTGCAACTGCGAAAGTGTTGTTTTCGTTTTGATCTCGTGAGACAATGTCTCAATTATCCTCTTCAATTTTACGTTTTCCGCTTCAAGACGTTCAATTTTTGAGCTTTGCTTCTGTGCGCTTTGATAAGAGTATGAATCAGAGGCAAGCCAATTTTCTTCAGACTGTGAGTTCTGACTATCGTTTGATACTGATATATACGCTTGTGTAAGTTGCTCTAGTAATACATCAGAAGGTGTGTTGTGATAATAAAAATCAGTGGCCAGCATGTCATTTCCAATCTTTCGGAGTACACGATACTCATCAGTACTTTGGCTTCTTGTCGTTTCTTTAGTTTGACGCTTTTCTCCTGCATCTCTCGAGAGCTTTTCAGGCTCATTCAGTATACACAAACAAAAGTCTTTGACCTGAAGACTGATGATTTGCGACACTGTTTTGACATTAGATGATTTGGAAGTTGAAAAGCTGGAATGCTCATCCAAATTTGCAGGGTCTCGAGGAAATATATGTAACAGTACTGGTGCTGGACTAGTGACCAGAAAACTTAAGAAATCATTGTCGAGTTTTTGTACTTTAATATCCTGAAACCAGTTGGAGTTAAGATGTCGAAGAAATGCTTTAAATCTTTCAAATTCTTCAGTTGACGCAAGACAAAGTGTTAACGTGACAGAGTCTGGGTTGTTTACATCTTGTATAACGATATTCCATTTGATATTATCATTTTTATATCGCCGGATAAAAATTAGTTGATTCCACAACTTAAACACTTTCATAAGACGTTGAAGTGTGGACTGTACTCTTCGTTCTTCACTTTTTGAAATATGATTGGTAATTGTTTTGCCATAATTATAAAGAACGTCGAGGCATAGATTCGTCAAGTTTTTAGATGATGCCATTTTGTTCATACAGCGTGAAACTGAAATTGAAAATATCATATTAAACATGTGAAATTTCAGGGAAGATTCAATTTCGGTTAGCGCCGAGATCGAACAAAAAAACCCTTTGTTTGTCAACAGGTTGAATTGCCAGACCTGTTTATTTGCAGAAAGAAAAAGCGCTGCATGGTAATAACAATAAGTAACAATTGAATACATTTGGGCTTGACGCATTATTTTCTGACAAAAACAATTTTACTAAACTGTTCTTGACAATCATGAACCAGTGGCGATTATGACGCTATTCATATAGTACATGCAACTACAAGAAATGAAATCTTTGGTTTGCCGTTGTAAACAGCGTTTCGAGCGTTAGCACAACGTCTTAAGGTAGATTCGGATACACGAACAATATTCTTGCGACGATTGAATAGAGTATTGCATTGACGCACAGAAAAATGGCCATGTCGCTGAGAGTTCTGTGCTTGCCAATCGCTTACTGCAACAAGGTCGACGGTCATTAGTATTTAAATTTGGCGCTATTGAGACAATTTTGGTATATATTAACGTCACATCATTCAAGGCAATTCAAATTAACCAATCAGTACTTAGATTGACATAATATAATAGTAGCATGTACGCGAAGCCGATTAAAAATTGATGATTGTGTCTGTGACGAAACTTATTTATATTTTTATTTTATTTAGTTTATTAATCTCATTTAAAAACGGTAACCCTTCAACACACATGGGCCGTTGATAACATACACTAAACTACTACGGCTGAATAAAATCCACGTCAGTAATAGAGTGGGGAAGGTATGTATGAGAGGGAGGTTCCACACATGAATCACACTGCGTACACTACATAAAACAATTGGTGAAAAACTCCGAGGACATCAACAGTCCCCCTTGGCCTCTTTCATCTACAGGTACGCTCGCAAGCTTTTAAATCTATTCATTTGTAGATATAGGTCGCCTATAGCCAGCATAGGACAGAATGGTCCGAATATTTTCTCTCAACAAAGCAACCAAATCGACACCATAGATATCTATGTTCGACACACTGGACCTACAGTACTTAAAATAACCTCCGCAAGCTGCTTCATTTACTTTCTACTCCGGATTTTCGGAACACTAATGGATTGGATTGGAAGACAGTCACATGACTGTTCTGACTACGTAAGGGCAGCCAGAACAGACACGTGACACCGCCCATTTTCACGTGATTGGAAATGGAAGCGACAGATTTGTGTATCCAATGCACACTGTATAGAAATGCATAGAGCGTTATTTTGAAGGGTTAACCGCTATATATCGACATGTACTTATTTTATGCTATTTGAACGCCAGGGTTCGGCAAAATCAACGAGTAAAAACGTTGCAAAAGCATACTTAGATATACAAATAATAGCAAATCATTATACGATTTATTATGCGAATAACTAATGATATAGTAATGCATGGTTGCACGCACATTGAAGCATTAGAACTCGCTAAATTAGAGACAGTGTATATTCGTAGACAGACTCAAACAACTAACCTTTTTCAGGAAATTAGTAATAATCCAGAACATAAACTATATCGATTTTTACCGAAGTTAAATAAATGTAATTTTAAGCTTAGGAATACTCGTAAATTTCAAGTTCCTGTCTGTAAAACTAACAGACTTCAGAACAGCTTTTTTTATAGTAATTGTACATAGTATAGTCGTACTTAGATCTTTTAATTGTATTTTTGATGTTATTGTAAATTCCTAATCTAATTCAGCTCAATTTTGGCTGTAAATTTTGGGATCATTAAACTATCTATCTATCTATCTATCTATCTAAACTAAACACTGTTCCAGAACACCGTGTGCACTCCATTTCATATCGTTCCAGAACAGTGTTCCAAATGTTTTAGAACAGTAAATGGAGCAGCTTGCCGGACAACAGGTTGAACGGAGGTTCATACATAAAATAGGACGTAATTACCCCCTATACTAAAGTATTCCCACTATATACTGCAACAAGACGCTCTATAGAGCGTTAACTCGCTGGGGCTGTACAGATACGCACATTTGCCACATTAGTCATTACTGTATATGATACCTATAGCTATTTCAATTACGATTTTTAAGGTTGTCCCCGTGCTAAGCGGAAAAGTCGTATAACAGTGCTCTGTTTATTTATAAGTAAATATCATGTTATTATCCCAGGGACTTGCATTGTGCCCCAATGGCAATGCACCCTACTTTATTATTTTAATGTCTCATACGGTCATACCAGTCGATTCTGCTTGTCAAGGGGAGAGTGCTGCCGCTCTCAAATTCGCTAGGTTTATATTGCAGGTATAAGTGCGTGAGAAATTGAACTTACGGATGTCAAATTTATCGATAGCCACAAAATAGAATATTAATGAGCTGCCTAATAAAACCCAATTTATCCTTTTCAAAATGGCGGTCTTTCGTGAGTTACCCTGGATTCCAGAGCCTTCAGTAACGCGATTTAATCAAATAATCCTCCCGTTGAGCCAGAGTGTGTAAACGTTTCAATTTATTATTTACTGAAGGCTCTGGAACCCAGTGTATTCGTGAGTGGGCAAAATGTCACTAAATTAAAATTTTCAACGATTTGTACCTGTTTTCTATGGATTTTGCATTGCGTCTAACTCTGGACATTCTTGCTAGTTTAGTTAATGAATAATGTATTTTTCTTGGTGCACGACTCTGAAAAGCCGAAATTTGGACTGAATCTGAATATAAACGAGCCAAAGACAATTTCAAGGTAAAAGGTTATGACTTAAACTACACAACGTAGTGTTAATAGATAAATACTTTATGAGAAGCATATTGGTGTCATATCAATATAAAATTTATCCAACAACAGTCCCTAATAGTTAGCTGGGCAAACGTGAAAACTGTAGTGTGAAATATGATATTGTATTTGTATATAATGCCTAATGGCGCAGTAAGGATAAAAATACCACCGTTCGATTCAGCGTAAGAAATTGTACTTACGAATGTCAAATGTATTACTAAACAACAGTATTCTAGCGATTTATGGCCCTTCAAAATCAAGCGAAATTGTGTTGTTGACAAATCACTCGCAGTACGTTTTGTCCTTGTATGCCTTGTATTTGTAATGCCTAATGCAGTAATGGCGCAACAAGGATAAAAATACCACCGTTCGATTCAGCGTAAGAAATTGTACTTACGGATGTCAAGTGTATTACTAAACAACAGTATTCTAGCGATTTATGGCATCCAAGCGAAATTGTATTGTTCACAAATCGCTCAAAATTATTAAACTAATTAGTACTATTTACAACATTTCCGTCCGTGTTGTATCGGATATACAGACTCCCGCCTTCGGCTCGAGTTTGTATATCCGATACAACACGGCCGCTCATGTTGTAAATAGTACGTATTAACTGTCGTGAACATATGAAGGTAATTATTGATGTAGGGTGGTGATATACTTCTGCAATCAGAAAAAAATTGGTGAATACAGTACATAAAATACAAGATAGACTGCTCCAGATTATTTCAAATCGTCCAAAAGTACGTTTACACGTTTTGATTTGTCAAGCCGATTTCAGATGACGTCATCACCGACCGAAAAGATTCGTCTGTAACGGTTTTCAGCAAGACCTAAAATCGGCCCGACCTATCGTAGTGTCTAAACGTACCTTGAACATGGTCACGACAGTTCCGACCAATTGGAAGCTTTCATCATTTGGTGTGTTTCGAGCTAGCTACAGCCCTAAAAACAGGACAGCCCGCATGCGGGTTTTTTGTAGGACCGGCAAGTGTGGTTTTGTGTTTAATCATAAGAACTATATGTTTTAACATTAGTGATAATATTCACCATTTTTTCTACTCAAAAACGGAACTGAAAGAACAGGACAGGCTCACGAAAATTGTATCTGACGTATCATTTATAATCATCCAGTATATTAAATCTTACACTTTATCAAGTAATTGTTGTAAATGTATTGTTGTTATAGTTGATATACTTCTTCGTCTTTGTGTCGTGTATTGACACATTGATAATATATAAGTACAAAAACAAGTGTGGCCTACGTCCTTTGGTTAAAGTCCCAAAAGTAAAGTAGCACTTCGAGAGGAGAGTGCGAAACATGGTGAATCATGTAATTTACTAGATCCAGTCTTTAACGGACATTTACCGGCTGTGATTGGTCGTATACGATTCGTATTCTGGCGTATGGAAATTACTGCTGACCCAAAATTCAAAGTGAAACTTGAAATGTAAGCACTTCACGCGCGCTTACACAATTACATACGCCAGAATACAAATCGTACACGACCAATCGCAGTGTGTAAACGTATCTTAGTCAAACCTAACGAGTCCACTGACTGAGTCAGATACATCAATACGAGAATAGTGATATGGCAGTTAGTATTTAATGCAATTCAAACAAGTAACGTAACGTATGTCATAGCTTAATGTACGGTACCAGTAGGCCAGAGCTTAATGTTATGAAGCCAAGTAACTCGATTACACTCGATTTCACAACAAATAAATAAGGTAAAATGCAAGATATTACTTACGTAAAATAGAATATATCCTTCTGGGTTTTCCAATTGCTTACTGCGAAGGTCGTTAGTATTTGAAATTTTCAAAATTTGCCGCTTGGATTGATATCAAGATATTTATCAAATTAACAATATGTTAACCAATCAGTTTAACGCACCGGGCGCGTCCACCACTGATCTATATAAAAACACTATAGTGTGCCTATTTTTAGTTATTTTGCGCCTGGGTACAAGGCTGGTCAGACACCAGCATGTTTGTGAGAAATGATGAAATTATCCTTAGAGAGCCTGCTCGCAGGCTAACCATATAGGTATATACATAAGTGAAGAAATATGAGAAATACTAAGCTTCTAAAGAACTAATAATGACATTATATTGGTTCCGCATATAAGCATATTTCTTCACTAATACATATACCTACGATGAGTAGTAATTTCATCATTCCTGATTACTAAAATCTAGTCGAAACGTGCAATAAACACTTTTCAAAATGATTATCGTTTTTGGAGTTAAACTGTTACATGTTCTTAGATTCGATAATGTACAAAGTCTCTGAAA